GATAGTTACCTGAAGGTTTATTTATAAAAGGACATGTTTACCTGAGAAGGGTCGCTTTGTGCCGTCAGTAAACAAGGGATCACGTTTTTAATGTAACAAATTGGCTGCTCAGGGGAACAGTGTAATAAAGGACGGTAGTTTTTACAAGCTCCGCCTGAGAGCTTTTTTATAACTAACACAAAATCCTTACCGGAGTACGTATACTTTGTTTTTCTTATCTGTTTCAGTTTTTTCTGCAAGCTACGCGTACACATATAACATTTTTAACGGTTTATTAAAATACACGAAATATATTTTTTTAGGTTTCTTATGCTTTGCACTACAAATCCGTTAAAGGTTTATAAACATATCTAAATTTAAATAAAACACTTTAACGGTTTAAAACGCGATATATTAGTTAAACTTATTTGAAAATTATTTTTAACTATGGCCGAACGTTTCGGATGCTTTGCAGCAGCCGTGGTCACGGAGAGACTCCCCGTTTAACTAATATATCGCGTTTGAAACCGTTAAAGTGTTTTATTTAAATGTGTACTACTCGCGTAAACTATAGAGAGTATTTAACATATCTAAAGTTATTTATTAACAATTATTCAATGTCCTCGTGATACTATTTTACTTTATTTTGAAACAAAATAATTGGCTACTAGTCGCGTCCACGCGTAACAAGTAATAGCCTCGTGTTGCTATCGTCCTGGATTCAAATTCGTGTAATTTTTTATTTCACCAGAGAAAAAAGCAAATGCCAGACTTTAGCAAGCTTTCTATTCACTAAAACATTGTACAATTACATTACAGCGAGGTACACATTTTGTGAGGCATGAAAATTTCAACAACCTGTTTAATTTTTACACCGTACCTTCGCTCTCGTGTATGTGCATAATTGAATCGTTCATTTAAAATACATTAAGCTGCTGAGTACGATCGGGAACGCCAAAGCTCGGATACGAACTAAGGTTGAGGTCTTATCAAAACGCCGAAGATCGCGTACAGATAGATCTAATGCGCGGAAGATACCGTCTCATTCACAAATGTAGTTACGATGAATTTGTTTCTAAAATACTAGAGAGGTGTTGTGAAGGACTAAACCTTGTAAAAGTTTACGTAAAAATTATGCGTAACTATAAACGTAAGACTGTAACAGTATTGTCATAAAAATCGCTCCATTTTTCTAAAGATTATGTTTTTTACTAAAACATTTGTAGTCAGTAAGTAAAATCTAATAAAACAATATAATAATTAGCGTAATGTTGTACGCGGCTGAATGCAAATGGTTTTAGTAAGTAACGATCAAATTATCCGAAATATAAATATGAAGCTTTTTACGAATTGTGGTTACAACATTAATTGGTTAAATTAGCATTGAGGTAATTAGAGAAAGTCGTTAGTTGGTATGTTACGAATAAATCTGTAGTTTACGCCTTAGTACACATTTAAATAAAACACTTAAACGGTTTAAAACGCGATAAATTTTAGTTACGCTTGTTTGAGAAATTATTTTTAACTACGGCCTGACGTTTCTTCGAATTCTCACATAAGTTTAACCAAAATTAATCGTGTTTTAAAACGTTAAAGTGTTTTATTTAAACTAGGAATTCTTTCAAAAACTAACGGTTAAGTACTTACAGTATTTTCTATAATAGTACCCAGCGAAATACGTCACAGCTTTAATAGGAGACCACAGACAACGGAACAAAGGTAATTTCTGAGGCTTACCATCTAACCGAAAACTGAGGAGGCTGTGTACCGGACCAATGTAAATTTAACCTTAACACAATCAATTTTTAATATTATTCCCTGTAACTAAGGTCTATTTTCCTGTATCAATTACAGTGTATATACTTTTATGAGGTAAAGATACAGCTAATGACATGGACTGGGTAACATTACATTTAATTTTATGTCCGCGACACAATTTTAGTAGGCTTTTATTTTAAATAAAAATCTTTGTAAGCCTTTTTGATCTTGTAAAGCTAGTTGAAAACAAGTATTTTCTAATGAAATTTCTGAGCCAACGCAATAAAGTGAACGATTTCTTTTCAACAATTATTAAAACTTTTATACGTAGAACATTATATTTGTAACACGTAAAAAGCTAGTTTATCTATTCATCTTGGTAAAGCACAATATCAATAACCTAATAAGACCCTTGTCAATATTATGAAACTTATTCGACAAAACGATATCCTCGGGAATTCGGAGAGCCATCTTGTGATATATAACAATACGCTACCTACTTACATAACTTTGTCCCTTTTGTAAAAATATTTTTATATTTTATAAGTTTTAAAACATTTTTATATGGCATATTCTTACATGCATTTCATAAATTAGCTTTAACAATTATAATACAAGGGGTAAATTTATTAGTAAATTTTAAAAAAAATAAAAAATTATATATACTTTTTAAAACCTTTCGTTCTTATTCGGTACTTTAAAACAATATTCTACTTCAACTTCTTTCAGTTTATCATCAGCTGTTTTTCTTTAATTAAAGCCTTAAAATATGTCAATATATTGCGTAAAAAAATATAATCATAAATGGCATTAAGGCTTCCCTATAATTCTAAAGTAATTACGAGGTCCAATTGAAATCTGCGTAGCTGTAGCTAAACTGTAGCATTTGCGTAGCGGTTACGTAGCCGCTTGTGCTACGAATAATCGCCTGTATTAAATCAAGGAGGGTGCGAAATAAAATCGGAGCTAATAAAAGCTAGGTTGTATAAGCGACAATGGCGCAACTAGGCGAGCACATCCGGGAACCCGGGTCAAGGTCACGGCCCGGATCGATGCAGCTACGGTGCTACGCCCGTTTACGTCCCGCTACGACCCACTCCCAACGACTCTATCGCACTCTGCGTTTTCCACTATTGCTATTTTTAGATATCTACGTTGTAATTTTTACTATATCTACTGTGTATATTATATTTTTAAGCTTTGACTATCCAATGACTTTTAACATTAAATTATCTTATATAATGATTAATAAATCAGAATATAAAGTCAATATAGTTGTTTAAACATTATTTTACATTTTTTAACCTAAATATACAATATCTTCGGAAACGTGTATGTGCGTATTTTTTATGATGACATTATATGAGTGACATAGTAACGTAACTTTAAAATGGTTACATGATTTTTAATAAATAAAAAAGCTATATCGACTGGGTGTGACGATAATTTTAGTTATTTCTGTGTATATAAAGTCGATATTGGAATAGACTAGAAAAATGGGACCTTTTCTTGTTTGCATCAAAAAACTATGATTATTTATTTCTGAATATCGCTTTAAGTATTTCTAGTTCACACTCAAATTATTGTTTCATCTTAGAGCTTGCGCTTCAAAAAATGTTTCGAGTGTTCAAAACTTGAGACATAAGAACCTCACTGGTCACGGACATGTTGAAGATGAAGGTGCTTCTAACTCTTGAGAATTTTGATTGTTAGACTATTTAAAGACATCTAACCTTCTTTTAAAAGTAATATCGATTATCTGGACTAGACTAACAGTTCGTAAAGCTTTAATTTAGGGCGTAGTAATCTTATTACAACTTTTACCGTCGTTTGTATTTATTAAACAGTGTATAATATAGTAATGTAATGTAATAAATATATCCATCCATTAAAGGAAAAAGATACAAAACAACTACGCTAGTAACGACGAATAATCGAAAGCTACAATCTAACTTTTACGTTAGCTAATATTTAACGAGCAAAAAATGTAAAAAAAATATCATTGTTTAGTAATTAGTAAATAAAGTATTGTTATCAGTTCTCCTCCCCAGGTTAGGCCTCAAAATTGGTTTTATGTAACAAAAAAATATGATTTACAGTATCTTATGTAATAATTTTGTAAGCAAACCCTTAATATTCCACGGTGAAAAGATTTAAACCTCATTATTATCTTGCGCAACAATAGGCGTTTGCCCTTAATATTTCTTGCTTTCATTTTGTTATGTACAAAAACAGCCGTTTCTGTTGTCAATTTATTTTATCTCCGACGAGGGTAGTTTGTAAGGCTTCAGTTTGAAAACAACGTCTATATTTTCTTTACAAAATACATATTCTGTTGATACTATATGGGGTTTTTGAGAGTGTTTACAATGTACAATTTATTTATTATATTTTACAGCAGTAGTAATAATAATTCGCAGATTTACAAAATTGATTACAGTTATCTTTAAATAAGCTCCATTTTTCAAAAGATTATGTTTCTTACTAAAACATTTGTAGTCCGATTATACTATTATTACAAAAACAAAGTAACCACGGAGTACATACAGTTTTTTATAAAGTCATACATAGTACGTATTTTGTTTATCAACTTCAAAAACTTTAAGCCGAAAAAAAACCGCACGAGTTAAAAACAATTGAAAAGGTTTCCGTAATGTATTATACAGTCTGCAAACCTACGCAACTTTTAAAACATGGCGTCATTACGATAAGTATAGTGGATGATACAGCAGGAATTTCAAGGAGAATGCTATTTTAGGAATAGCCGACGAGATAATAGGGCAAAAAATTGAGCAGCCCTTGGTTCAGTTGCTGCAAAGCATGACGTAGAAAGTATTGCGTATAAACCGTTAGAAATGGTTCAAAAACTATCCTTATACAAAATGTAAGAATGTAAACTCAATATTCAATACATTTAAAGATCGTAAATCTTATCTCTGAAAAACCCAGATAACCTATGAATATCTAACGTTATTGCATAGTTTATAAGCCTGTCTGTTCAATATTCCTTTCATAGGAAGAAAATAATTCGCCCTTCTAATCGCGCTGTGTCGTAAAAAGTTTGTAGTCTTTTATAGCTTCGTAGCCTTGAGAGCGTTTAGCTACGGCGAACAACTACCTCTGTACTTGAAACGGTCATGGTCGCGGGTTGAACTGCGTTGAAATGAGGAACGTCCGCTCAACGCGGCAGCTAATGCTAGAATAGCCTTCTACTCGGGGTATAGCGGGGAAGGGGTAGTGGGGAGTGTTTACCCGCCTACCCCTCAGCCGTGCCAGCTGAGCAGCGGCACGCTATATTTAGGTTGCGCTGTAAATATTCGGTCCAAGTACGGAAAGCGGCCCCCGCCCCCCACTGGGGTGAGTTCGGGGGATAGGTAGCGAGCGACATAAGCGGGTAAAAGTTGAAAGTTCACCAACGCCTCGCACACGAGTTCTCGCTGTTAGTGAAGGCTTTCTTTATTTAAATTCTGTTGCAACTTGTTCTCTCTTGTATTCCGCTGTATTCCACGCTGAGTCTAATTTGCCTACACAAGACTTTTTATTTACACAAAACGAAATTTATTAGACTCAATTCAATGCGACTTTTTATTCGTGTTTCGATTCAATTAAACTGAACAAGCTTTTCAGATTGTAAACGCTCAAAACGATCTGCGGGATGACGGCGAGGCTATCGCCGATATACCCCTCTTTATGTAAATTAAAACAGATTATTTCGCCCGTGATGGGCTATTTGCGTGTCCGCTCAAATTGGGCACGTCGTTATTTTTTGCCACATCATGTGACGAGGTCGATGTTATTACACTATACTTCGCCTAATATAGGATGATAACTTTGACTATTTACAGAACGCATGAGGTGGTGTGTAATCGTTAGCAAGTCCTGAAGTTGGACACATTTGTGTATCTATTTCACTGATACAGACTTTACTGTCGAAACGCAACAATCTAATCTTTCCCCGGGATACCAACAAATCTTAACAACACGAAATCCTATATTAGACGAAGTATAAACACATTAGCGATAAAATATGGGTTAGTTTAAGCGTTGACTTATGGAAGACTTAGCCGATATCACGGGGCGACTGACAGAGGATGCCTTTGATAATCTTGACGCGTCGATTTCCGGGAGAACTTCAGACGAACTCGAACTTGCGGGAAAGTACGGTTCACCCTTGGTGTATTCATAATCCGGTTCGACTTCACCGGCGTATCTCTCGTGTTTCGGGTCGTGGAAGGAGACGATGTTTAATACTGGGGCTGATCCGCCGAAGGCGATGCGGTCCTCGTAGCTTGTGACAGCCAGTACTGCGCCAGCAGCCGGATATGAGCAGGCGATGTATCGATTGTGGAGGTTGATTACTTCGACACAGTTGGTGCCGCTGCCGCCAATTATTGCGTATTTACCTTTGCGATTGTACTGCAACGGGAAATATATTTGAAACTTTAATATTTTTCACATGGTGTAAAGCCCGTTTCCCGTTCGTGGGGCATGGGGCGAACACATTTCTGTGTCCGTTTTACTGATCCATTCTTTTAATAGGCAAGTAGTTGATCAGATTTCTGTGCCCTGCCCGACCGAAACAATTGTGTTTTGTCGCCTGGGATTCAAACCCAGGACCTCTTGCGCTTAACGCAATGCTAGGATAGGCTAGGTTTAACCATTTGACTACAGAGGTTTCACATGGTGGCAGTATATAAATTAAAATTGATTATGATTTGAAAAATGTTTTTTTCGACAAGGGCAGGACTTGAACCGGCATCCACTACAAGCTACTGTGTTGTTCGAATAGTACTGTGTTTTCGATTGAGCACAACCAATATGGTGCAGTTAAAGTTTAAGATAACCATCTTTTTTTTAATCTAAAACGGTCCATTGCATCTATTATAGATTGAATTTTACGTTACGAACAACTGAGATATAGGCTTTAAAACAATTAGTTAGTGTGAATAATATAAAATAAAAACAATATTTTAAAGTTTAAGATAACGTGTGAATACTCGATAATGTCAGGCATGGGTCAGTAATTGAAAAAGTTGAACGTCTACCGACTGTAACTCTTCTAATTTTCCTCTATTTTATTTATTATAAATTGTATATTGCCTAGAAAACATCGCTTGTTAGTGATAAGGTCACCAGTTGACTCCGTACTAGCATACAGAAGTTTTATTTCTATTTGTTATTTTTGGTGCATTTTTTAGGTTGTTTTCTACCGAGTTCAAACAAGAGATCTTTTGCGTTGAACGCTTAACATGATGAATATTAATCATTGCGGTTTTATCTTAAATACTCCTAAAACAATAGTACAGTAGTACTAAAACTACTTCACTAGATGATATGTCCTTCACATGTTTGCTTAGAAGACCCAAAATATAAATCGTAACGAGCGTCAAAATCGACCGTTTATCAGCAATATATTGCCACCACTGCAACAACAAGCCGTTCAGTTTCGTAAATACATCTCAAAGGGAATTCAACTTGTCGAAACAGTAAAGTTCTTATACTTAAATACCCTTGAATTATCATTGATGTTTCATTAATACACTACTTAACTGTTTTGTTTCTGAATTAAATGGAAACAACTGTAAACCTCTGCGAGCTTTTACATTTACAAATTATGATACCTGAAATACTTGTCGAGCTTTATTTGTTCTACTTTGAAATATTATCATTTTAGTTAACATAAAACATTTAAATACTATCAACAAATGGTATTACAATATTTTCTGTTGTCTAAAATGACCAATAATTATTTTCAACACTGGATTGTTTAGCTAAATTACGTTTGAAACGTAATAGAATAAATCTATTAGTTAAATACACATAATATGTTGATGTTACACTTCAGGAAAAACGTTGTTATATAATACACAATAAACTAATAAGGCACTTATTAAAATTTCAAAAATGAAAACAGCAATGTACTATTCTAGAAACATTAATGCTTAAGTAATATAATTGATCTTGACTTGTTATATTTAAGAAAACTTTGACACGACAAGATAAACTATAGAGTCAAAGTAATAAAGCCATGTTAAAATGGAGACACATTCAAATTCATTTTAACTTTAACGCAAATATCTATTTGAATAAACTTTTTAATTTTGTCCATGAATTGATAATAGGTCTTTGTTAATGTATATTAATTAACATGACTAAATAGTAAGTCACCTTTAAAAAGAGTTAAAAAAGTCTTAAATACGTTTTAAATCGGGGTTCAAACGAAATGAGTACAAACCGTGGAAGATCCCCAGAAACGACAGGCGTATATAAATTCACCATCGACGTCTGGTCTTCTGTTTTGCGCTCGAATGATGTTCAGACGTTTTCTAGCAACTATATCCCACACGGTGAGGGCTTCTGTGGGCTGCCAGCTACCAGCAACGCATTGATCCCTCTGTGAAGTTGAACATTTACACGGGTTTTCAGAAACGCGTCTATGTGTCTTTATAGATCGACTAGAATACAACCAAGTAAAGGTTGAATCTCATGTGGAAACCAGGACCTCTTGTAGTAACGCAATGAGAGACTGGCCTTAACATTAACAAAAAATACTGTCACGGCCCTCCCCCACCAAAGGCTATTTTGTGTGAGTACATTTCCGGGCCGCCGGTTCGAGTCCCAACAGCGCAATTTTAAGTCCCGAAGTAGATGGTATGATAGATTGATGACCAGTGGGTGATGAAGATGATGGTATGTATGGACGAATGTATATAGCCTTGGTGGTCAATTATTTACACTTTGAAGTTCACTAATTGAAGCAAAAGCATGTAATTTTATTGTACGGTTTTAATTATGTAAGAGAACAAAATGTATTACGTTTACTTAATTACTTTTCTCCAACAAAAACACGATTACTGAACAACATCCCAACAAAACAAAGGTGTTTTTTCAAGCAATAAACAGACGTATAATTGTGTAATCTTTGCATCCACCTAAATAAATAAAACAATGTCTGCGAACTCGGGAGGGCAAAGTTTACCGAAATTAATTTTCTAAAACAACGTGCAACTTCAGGGCGCGCTACGGTAATGAAAAGTATTAAAAATACTGTACTTCAAAGGTAACGTACAAACTATGAGGGTATCAAACTTAATAACGAGACGACATCATCTCAATGAAAGCTCGCCACGTACGCAAACTTTACAAAGAGCGACTTTTTAATTAAAATTTCATGTACTCAAGACATTATATAAGTTACAACTGTAACATACATACAAAGTACATACACGCTTCTAGTACCGTATCCTACCTCACTTTGATAAAGGTGATCGTATGACGCAAAACGCGATGGTTATAATACAAAAAGTATAGGAAATGTCTTTTAAATAGAATAATAGAGATGGCGTCTAAGTTAAAATAAATGAAATAAGATGTGAAATAAAGATGACACCGGCACTCAAACCCACGATCAACGGCGTACCGTGCTATACCGTTATTACTATGTTTACAAAAAAAGATTTGGATTCAAATGGTATTTTGCTATCGATATTTAATTATTATAGGTACCTCCTGGTTCAACGATAAACGACAATAACTTTTAATTAATTACAGTTCCAAGTTATATTAATTTGTAACGAAAGTGTGTTACGGAGTCATCAATTTCGTATCGTTCTTACGTAACGCGTCTATGGTAATAAGGACATTTTCAATCGTGTAGAAATAAGATTAATGATCTTAAGGTAATAGAATTTAAGTAATTCATTCAATACTTACAAATACATTGGAGTTACGCTAGGAATTTAATACATCCGAGGGAAACCGCTTTCATTAATCACTGATTCCTTTCAGAATTACTGGTTATAGACGCACAATTTCAGCTACGTTTCATTTTTTAGATTACAGGGTAAAGACTTAACGATTTAAACGCGAAATCTATACAAATATATAAAGCTGAAGAGTTTAATAGCTTGTTTGTATGTTTGAACGCGCTAATCTCAGGAACTACTGGTTTGAATTGAAAATTTATTGTTGTGGTCGTTATAGCATTTTGAAAAATTGAGGAAGGCTGTAAAACATATCGCTGTGACAAATAGGAGCAAAGGAACAGCGAGAATTGTTGAAAAAATGGGAAAAAATATTCATCCTTCTCCCATAGTCGATCTATTGCGTACCCTGCGAAAACGGTTCAAAAAACCCAAAAAATTGAATGAAAGAATAATTCCTCTTTAAAGAAAAAAGAAGTCCGCGACAGTATATGTCTATCTTGGAAGAACGACGGGACGCGGACGACGTCGTGGGTAACAGCTTAAATTTATAGAGTTGAACAGGATGTTCCCAAAACAAAAAATTATACCCAAAATGACTATTCTACTACGCGTACGAAGTCGCTGACTTAGCTAGTGTATTTTATTCGACGTTTTGTATCATTCGGTACTACAAACAACACCTAAATAACAGTCTTAAAAAACTATTTTCTAATTTGTATTGATAAAAAATAACAAACCGTACACTGTGTTATGTGACAGCTACAGACAGTAAACAGTCATTTCATAAAACGTGAAACTCCCGACAATATTATTATTTGAGGAAACAAAAAACCTCATCGGCATGTTTTTTAGTACCCGAATATTTACGGGGTTTTTATGTTAAACGTTTCAGAGACTGAACATGGACATAAAAGCGGATTACTTAACTTCACTCGCTTCCAAAGACATTTTCTCTAACTCCGTTCGTCGTCATTTGCCTAAATGTTATTTGGCCGTTCAGCGCCGGCAAGATAAAAGCTAGTTACACGGTCTTATCAAAATTCCAGGCTCACAGTGTCAGAAAGTGTATAAATTCTCGCCTGACATGAATACGGAGCCGGAAAATTCATAACACGATTCATTTATCACCCATTTTCACGTAACACGCAAAACTTCGTATTTTCCCGATTAATCTCAAAACTTTCTGTAACACGTTCGGCCCATTATAATGGGCCCGTGACGAGACAGAATTTGGACGACCCAGTTCCATAATTTCAAAGAACTAATCAATTGTCACTCGCTGTCTTGCGTGGCAGAATTGTTTTGGCAATTTTTACCTTAATATTTAAATCACTATGTAGTGTATAACATAGTCATATTCTGTCCCTATGTTCGCTTAAATCTTTAAAACCACGCAACGGATTTTGATGGAGTGATTCCAGAGGAAGGTTTTTATTTACACAATTCCCAGTTTTTCTCTAGTGTACTTTATCGTCTTCGTTGTTAGTAAATAAAATTTTCAAGTCTTTGATTATTGCGCTAACTCTATTATAACAATAAATCACTATAAGTTCGAAATTAGTAAATTACGATTTAAAATAGTAAATTAAATTAAATACAAGATTATCTCACCTAAACAATACCTGATTTATTACGAGTCGAATTCTTAAACTCAGGTACAAAAGACTTTTAAATTATTCAAATAACAATTGAAGACAAAGAATGCAAATTGGTTTCTAACTCTTCACTCAATTTTCAAAGGTGACCTATAAAAGTTCTAGACTTTTAATTTAAACAAAACTGATCTTATAAAACTTGAGAATTTTGATTCGCGAAAGGTGGAATTATTCATGCATCAAAGCGATTCAGCTTTGAAGATCCAAATTTTGAGATATTCATGTTTTATGTCATTCCAGATTATAATTTTTCTAAGAAACGTTTTAAATTGGAATTTGTGTAGTTAACTAAACAAACTTAATTTGAATAACATTACCCACATTCAATTCACTGTAACGATTATAAAAATTATTTTAACTACGGCCCGACGTTTCCCCGTCTCCACGGCAGCTGCAAAGCTTTCAAACGTCGGGCCGTAGTTAGAATCATTTTCAAATAAGTTTAACTAATATATCACGTTTTACCGTTACTGTGTTATATTTAAATGTGTACACTACAGACAGTATTGAAGATTACTTACATTTAAGTCAATGCTGTCACTGCATACGTTAACACCTTCAAAAGTGGCAACGCACCCCACTGCACATCTTGTGTCCCAAATCTGTAATGCCAATAAAACTCTTTTTAATGTAACACATAGATAAAATCTTTGATAATGAAGATACACAGTTTTTTACATTAAAAATGGATTCTAGATCGAAAAAAAATTACGACACGGGTCGGATGTGAACTGGCATCAACAGGATTCCGTGCTGTGGCTCTAACTAATTGAGGACAAGGTAGTCCTACACGTCATCGTCGATTTCAGTTCAATCTTTCATTCATGCACCTCTCGCTAAATGCAATTTCTACTTTAACACTTGCGTATTTAGGCACCTTAAGCCGTTTACGCGAAAATTGTTTTTAACTAAGATTTAAGCTTATTTAATGGTTTGTAATCGTGGTTAAAACAAGTGTTTTATTTCAATACGTGCGTATAAAATGACTAATCATTACATACTTAGTAACGTAAAGTAGATGTTACTATATAACATATAATTATAAGTTGCAAGTAGCAAGTAACTTTCTTGAAGTCGAGACACAATGGAAAGTTTTTATGGGCTTCCAGTGTACCAGCTGGCTTTGGTACAGAAATACTAAATATAAATTAAAATACATACTTACAAATTGTATATAGGTATTATTTTATGAATTATTTCAAATTGCTTTTTATAATATGTAGTATTTGTAATACTTTTAACTTGAGTTTATATTATTTCGAATCCTATAAATAAGCACATCAAATGGTATTCTATAAAAATACCGGCTTCTCTTTTATTCATAAAAGCTCGCAAAAGCGACGTGCCACAGGCATACGCTAATTTCAAAATGCACCGTCATTTTAGGCGTGGGTAGATAAGCAATTATCGCAAAAGGCGACTTCTTTCTTAATTTCTGAGGTCTGAGGTGGAATGTAGTCTAGGATAAAAGGGGCTAATGCTATTTTGCAATCTTTAATTTACAATTTCCGGACGTCATCCTAATTGAAAATCATGATATCAAATGGATGTTAGGAATATCGAAATTTCATCCGGGTTACGAACCACCGTGGACTGGTGAAAGGTTCCTAAAATTTCCAAATACCAAAAAAGGCTGACAGCGATTTTTTTTCCAAGATGTTATATAGCTGGTACATTTCCACCACCAATCCTGTTTGTCATTAAAAAAACACAAAGATACCAAAAAGACCAGTATAATTTAAAAAACACCTTTACATTAGGCAATATTTATTTACATCACAACTGTGTTAAGTTTTATAAATACACAGTATGTAAACTGAAGCTTAAATAAACACCACGATTCTTTGTGAAACACACTAAGTACTCAAACAAGCTTACCCAATTAATTATGAAATAAGAGAAATATTTTAATCTCAACAGAGGTCAGTAATTGTCTGTCATACGTATTTAATATTTTAACGTGTTTACTTGACGTTGTGAGTTATGCTATGAATGTTAATTAATTAAAAAAAGGTGTTTGTATTTAATTACTTATGACGAGCTTCCTTTTGCTCAGAACAATATGTTACTTAACGCTGAGTAAGATCCTTTGGTTTGAATCACGGGGAAAGTAAATACGTTTAACAGAGGTGGCCCAAGAAGTCCTATCTCCAATTTTACTTGGTCGTAAAAGACACATGAAAACATTTTCTATAGAAGAAACTGAATTCTAATTAAAAGTTAAATAAATCTATATCTACTTTTTTGGTAATCTGGTATTGAATTTATTTCATTTGAATTAAATATCTATTGAGATTTAATTTTTATAATAAAGTCATAAATAGTCTTCATCTATCATGTACTAGATATTTATTTCAATGAAGCTGTAAATGTAATAAAGCTTTTAATAGTTTAATTCAGATTACTGTTATTATTTAACGTATTTATATGCGATGCGAGTAATTGATAAGAAAAACCGTCACAACGCTTACTAAATATCTTTTTAATATTTGCGAGCACAAAAAAAAATAGATAAACCTTGAATTTTTCTTTCTCTATAAACATAACGTCTTAGCTCGTTACGTCCTACGTCTCAACTCGCCATCTTTAATCACTCTCTCCGTCCCTTTCACACATATGCTCTCACTTCTTACATTTCAATCCACACACTCTTCAAGTATATTAGTTATTGTGAGTACAAAATAAATAAATAAAAAAGCTTAGCTTACCTATACTTTATCTGATTTTTGTAATTCCTCGCTAAAACAATAGAAAGTTATACAGGTTACTGGTATAACCAGAATTACTCCCTCTAAACAAGAGACTGAAATCGGATTAACTCAGATCATGATCATCAATTCATCTTATGAGTATTTACTGTAATCTTAGCTTACTTAAATCAGATAATCCCCACCAGGATTAAAGCCTAGTGTACATCAAACTCAAATGGCAGATGAAGCTGCCATGTTTTATACATATGTACTGAGTCGATCTTATATACGTTAGCAACGTAAATAATCTTATGTACCTTAGGTCTACTACGTTAATAAAATATAATACTTCATAAGCTCCAACTGTAAAACTTATCCTATAAGTTTTGCCTGAAGTTAACTCGTTTTACAACATAACATAACAGACGCTTACGAATCGATTCTTTGCAACGCGTGGTTGAAGATGGCCCTAATGTCAAAGTCAAAACCGTTGAGTAAAGCAGTAGTTTGGACTAATTTATTTGAATAATCCGAATTTTAACCCGTTAAGTGTTGCATCAGCCTTTATAGAACCATATGCAACCTTTTTACTGGTATTTTATCATTTATTTAAGATAGCTCCTTATTTTAAATATTATTAATACTATAACTGTTGTATTTACTCTCAATGTATTATCCCACGCAGCACTAGCGAATACTCGATGTCTCTCACTGTGGCATCTCAAAGCGCATACTTGCCCGAAATGCATGCGCTGGAGTTTCTTGGGGATAAATTGCAAACGCAACTTGTGCACTTTGAACGTTGTTTCCGCCTGAAAGGAGACTAAACAATTTAGGTTCGAACACTGGGAAAAAAAAATTCCCAGACAAACATAGGTTCACTCATTCTATTTTAATGTAGTAAAAATAAAAACAGTAGTTTACGCATAGTACATAAAAAAACACTTTAACGGATTAAAACGCGATATATTTTAGTTAAACTTGTTTGAACAATATTTTTAACAACGGCCCGACGTTTTGTTTGTAGCATCCGTGGTCACAGAGACTGTCTGTGTGTCGGGGCGTAGTTAAAAATAATTTTAAAACAGGTTTAACTTAAATATATCGCGTTTTAAACCGTTAAAAAAAAAAAGTGGTCTAAGAAATTTAGATCTACGCCCTATACTATCAACACATAATCGAACCTTTTCAACGGGCTCGTTCGTCTAATGGTCCAATGTATGGTTGATAATAGGGTGGGATTTGTTGTTTCAAGATTTACCAATTTAGGATTTTTCCTAAACATGGTGGAATTCATCTGGAAATCTAGATATTAAAAGGGTGGTAGGAATATAGAAATTCCGTCCGGATGATAGAACTGTGAAGTTTGATATTGTTTCGGGTCCAGTGAATTTCTAAATATATCTAAAGGTAAAAAAGGTCGACAGCGCATTTTGTTTAGATGCCATAGGCTGGGGTATATCGCCTGCTATCAGCCCTTCCTCTTTCACATCTTTCAAAACCTCTGTTGAAGATACATCTATCAGTCTCTAGTCAGGAACAGGGGACTGATTATAATGTTGACTATATAATTTAAAAATCGAAAATAAGTTGAAAAATTTTCAACTCGGGCAGGACCTGAACTGACATCGTCAGCGTTCTGTGCTGTTGCTCTACTAATTGAGCTGCCGAGTCCTTTGGTAGAGCAACAGCACGGAACACTGATGCCGGTTCAAGTCCTGCCCGAGTTGAAATTTTTTTCAATTTATTTTCAATTTTTAAATTACATAGTGTCTTGATGTGCAATAACATTTAAAAAATAATAACGTTTTCAAATTTATTGAGAACTTCCATACTAGTCTAGAAAGTAAATCTATATAACGCCTAAACATGTCATAGATCCATTAGCAACTCTGCTTCAGCGTCTGTTAAGATTTGACGTTAATAAAGGAATCCTTGACCAGCGACCTACTTTCCGGGTTAAGGACTGACGAAAACCTCGTAAACCAATCTCGTATTACCAATAAAATGGGATTAGGTTGGTTTACGATAGGCAACACTTTATCGTAAGCGCATCGAGTGATAACATCGGGCAATAATACCATGCTATATAAAAAACCGTCAAAGACCATAAAAATGGCGAAATATCTGGACATTATTAACCGAACAACTAAACAATGGCAGGCTCTATATACTTATTAAAAGCTAATATAATACAAGCTAAGTAAAGAGCAAGAGCTGAGGCGTTTTTCTTGTTTGAATTGGTTCAACTTGAAAAAATATTTCTGTGTTGGTTGGATTACTTATAGAGGAAGGCTCTAGGAAAGATCAGGAACTGCTGGAAGAACAGGAAGTGCTGTGAAAATGGTTTTAGAAACCACAAATATGTATAAAAAAATATCCGTCAGATTTTATGTCCATCGGCATCGACGCGGACAACGTTGAGGGACAGCTATAATTTAGAAAGTTGTGGCGGGTATTTGCAACATAACATATGTACCTAATATGTTGGTAATTATTCTACGCAAACGAAGTCGCGGGTTAAGTTAGTTAATCTATACTTATTAAGTATTGCTTACATTTCATTCAATCAGTTAATTCATACTATTTTTCCATTCTGTTTTTACACTGTTGAAAACATTTAAAGTTACCAAGGTCTTAAAACTTAGCCTTTTTGTTTTTGCCCCTTTATGGTAATGTATAAAAATGCTAATTGGGAAAAGGAGAAATAAAACTCTCGGCCTCAATAAAACTCTCCCGTTTCTAGTTCCATTGTTTCTACAATTGCTTGGATTAAAACGTGAAATGGTCTATGCAAACATTTTGCAAGGTTTATTATTAAGAGAAGTCATTTTTAAATAAAACACTTTAACCGGTTAAAACGCGATATATTAGGTAACTGATTTGAAAATGATTTTTAACTTCGGCCCGACGTTTCGGATGCTTTGCAGCAGCCGTGACAGCAGCAAATACAAGCGCGATTTAAACTTCGGAAATAAATTTAAAAATAATTCAACTCGAGCAGGACTCGAACCGGCATCGTCAGCGTTCCGTTCTGTTGCTCTTTAAATTTTATAGTGCCATCATTTGTAAAATACTAAAGTTTTCAAACACAAGCGCATACAAATCTCTTCTCTTTATAATATAGTGTAGATGAATTGTTTTTTAACATTCATTCTTGAAGGCTTATCAACTAAATAATAATTGTTGTTAGTTTTAAATTTAAAGCTGTATAACACTGCATATTGAAACGAAATAACTAGACAACACCAATATTAAAGACCTAATAACAATAAATTTTCCACCTGCCTAGTTTTATTTGCGCCCCGAGTATTTTATCTATATTGCTAACGAAAGTAATAAAATGGAGAATGAGAATAAATTTTACTAGAAGTACTTTATTCATGACCGTTAATAAACCTTTATGTTTTATAATTTTCGTTTATTTAAACGAGCGAGATGAAATATTGTCGATGTTACCTGTATTTTAAAGTGTTACTGGCCAAAATTTAGGTAACAATGAGAATTATATTGGAGTTTTATATTATTTAACGTTATGTTATTTTAAATCTCATAATGTATAAGAAGATCACTCCGTATTAGTACAAGGGGTCTATAAATGAGCTGAAGTAACTGTAACAAAAATATTTGTATTGTTATTTGTTATTAGTAAAGAAAAAAATTTTGAAAATCACATGCAGAGAAAATACTGCTCACAAAAAATACATTTCCTTGTTCAGTGTTTCTACGCGAATCCATTTGTTTAAATATTTAATATAACATTTTTTTTAAATACATACATTCAAGTTTACACGTGTCTAAAGTGACAAAGAGTTATAAGTTTGTTTTAAGCACTCTTGCAATAAAAAAATGGAAATTTAAATACGATTTAAAACGCAATATATACTAGTTTAATTATCTTTACTATGTCCGGACGTTTCGCGAGCTTTTGCAGTGGCGATGTTCTCGAATATTTCGCGTTTAAAACCGTTAAATATGAACTTGTCGCGTAAACAAACTACAAACAATTACGTGTGAAGACACGGCTAACTTTATAAAATTACTTTGATAGCGCATCTATTATCTGTATTTATTTTACTGCAAAAATCAAGTGAGAAAAATAGAGTTAACCATATAATCAGACGATGCTAAAACTTAACGTACCTCTTGAGTCTCCATGTCGTAGATTTTTATTGATGAGTCAGCGTACCCAACAATGAGCTTTGCCTCGTCAGCGCTTACACCCAACGATAGAGCTGGTGATCGTTCTGGATTTAAGCAATATTATATAAGAGAAAGTAAATATTAAATACTGTCTGTAGTTTACGCGAGTAGTACACATTTAATTAAAACGCTTTGACGGTTTAAAACGCGATATATATTAGTTGAACTTATCTAAAAAATAATAATAAGTCGGGCCGTAGTTAAAATAATGTTAAAATAAGTTAAACTAATATATATCGCGTTTTATTAAAAAGTAAATATTGGTTAGAAATAACTATGTTGAAACCAAGATGAAGATAGTTTAAATTTATAATTCCTTCTGTTCCTAACCACATTCTGGTCGTCCTCGTTGATGTCATGCATTGGAATCCAGGGAATAAATTGTTCTTATCGAATAACTTAAAACTCTATGAAAGGTGTGTGGGACAATTTTCAATCTAAGGAAACTTATAAGATTCACCTCGTTTTTTGTCACTCTACAGGATGTGTTAATTGATTAAATAAGATTACGTGTAACAAACGGTGTAGCTGCAGAAGAAAGTCCAGGTGCACCATAGTATTGTGTGTTTAGATATTCGAGGGCTGGATCAGCACGAATACAATATTGTGGAGGGTCGTCTGTAGAAGCCACTAACTGCAAAACACTGAGGTTTTTTTAAACATTCAACTAATATTATGGTAAAAGTTTAATGTAAGTATCTACAATACGCGTAAAAATAGATGTATGAATGTTTGTTATTCTTTGACTCACTACTAGATCACTTCTACATATTGGCATTGACGTCAATGTATAGTATTTTTAAATCCTATAAAACTAATAGTTAAAAAAATGGAAAATATTGACTTATCGGTTAAAATTTTCACATTTAAATATATGTAGGATCAGAATTTATATACCGCGGAGTAGCTCTAAAAGCAATATTAAACTTAAAAAGGTATTATATTGTGTACATAAATTTTTGCAAAGCATTCTTACTAGGAATAATAAATATTTAACTATACATATATATAACTTGTATCTCACATTTGGTATTTCAATTCTGTAAACAGCGCCATCTGTGCACGCCGCGTAGCAAATACGTTCCTCGAAGCGACTGTATTCCAGAGAATATACCGGCTTCGGTGGAAACTGGATGTTTCGTAGCGTACAAAGAACGGCACCAGTGCTCCCATGTCGCATCTACAAACAAAATTATTTCAAAACGGACTGCCCGCCTCAACTTATAAAACGAGTCCGATAAAGGGAGAATAGTCTTCTTGGGTTATTTATATTTAGTATAAAACTGATAATGTACAAAAGCACAGTGACTGAAAATTGTTAACATAATTTTTACATAAATAATAGTACAACTTCATTTTCGCCTTAGTTAATTGCGCAGTTTTTATTTTCCTTTTTATTGAGAATCATGTTTTTTGTTATTAGGCCACTCTGTCTAGTAGCCTCAAATAATTTGACAATTTGTTGTACTACTTTGTTAAAGAGCCGGCAAAGAAGGCTTCGTGACCATTATGGGCGATTTTTAATTAAGCATAACATACTTTTACGATCTCTGCTTATTTTCTCTTGCAGTAAGCACAAAGTTTGTGTTGGCATCCTTTTAATTATTACTTTAGTTATCCAGGTGCAATTTAGAGAAAGCATCGCTACGAGCATATTATATGCGAGCGGCATAATATTGTGCAGATACTAAGAAACACGTGACAATGTTTACGTGGTCATAATGGAACTTATTTTTAATCATAGAGGAAGACAGAGAAGCACGAGGTTGACTTGATGGGAGGTGAAATAACCCAGCCATGTAACATCAACACAAGATGACCTGCAGGCCGATTCTACGAATTTAATGACGTTTCGATCAAGTTGCAGTCACGCTGCGGTTCGGTTTCGATTCAGCGCCGATGGTATTCTCTTAATTTGACAACTGTGCACGAAAGGTACAGCACCGAATTGTCAAATACAATCTGGCGTCACGTAAACTTGACAAGAACGTGTTTAACGTGTTACGTTAAACACGTTCGTGTCAAGTGTCGTGTCGTGTTCGTGTCGTTAATACGAAAATCGGTCTGCTCGACGGAATTTCTATATTATATCCAGATTTCCAGATGTAGTCCAATGTTTCATATTATAAATTGAAAAATTAGAAACATCTTGAACTTGGTGGGGGATCGAACCCACAGCCCGTTGATAATTAGCTATACATTGCTACTTTTAGACCAACGAGCTCGTCATAAAGGAACGTCGAGTAAAAGCTATACAACTTTGTTAAACTAACATACTTTGTCTAACACTAAACTCGCTCATTGCGCTAAACAATAAACAATGACCTGAATGGCTCCAGAAGCATGGCCTACGACAATATGAGACCCATTCCGAGAGAAAGTCATAGACGTAATCGCCCCCATTTCAGTGCCATACCAACGATTATAGAGAATTTCGTTTGGGGTACCCTTCAGAAACTTTTTACGGTTTTCTCTAACCCACGAATAATTTGGTTGCTTTATAACTCGCTGAGAAAACATGGGATACCATATTGAAGGATTTTTTCGTTTTCGTAGTAAGATTCGATGTTTGTTATATATTCCCTGAATTATGGCATTTTGGTCTGTCATGGCCAACTAGTAAAACATAAGCTCAGATAACCCACGTTTTCGTTTAAACTAGTAAACAAATTGTCTTCATGACTTAACTATTAACACAAACCAGTAATATGCCAAAGACAATTAGGTATAGGCATAACATTAGATATTTCAACTTTGAGTATCAAAGAAAACGATTGGTAAAGAACATTGGGGACAAGTTTGAAAGAAAATCTAAAAAAAATTACCAATATCAAACCCGTAGAATGTCCAGCAATTATAAATTCACCATCAGGGAGAGAAAGTTAAAGATGTTATAAATCCGTACTCTGTTAAATAGTTTACGCTCTGAAGGCATTCGTTAGGCGTATCCTTAAAGAAACGATCATAGTTTTCGTCAATCCATGTCGAAGCTGCAGGCTTAACATTCCTTTCCGCAAAAGATGGAAATTGCGATCTTCCGCCTTCGAGTTCGTAAGCTAATTGCCTTTTTATGCGGTAACCGTATTCTTTTACGAATACTTCGATGTCAGATACACTTTCGGATAGATTGAATCGACTGTATCTGGAGATATTGAAAAGACTCGAAGCCATGCGGGTTATTTACTCTATAACTATTATAAAGTGAATCAAACAATAACAATGTTATATCAGATTTGATATATTAAGACAACATAGAGGCAAAAACTATGAAATACATAACTACAGAATAGAGTACAACTCTTTCACCTTGTTGCTTATTTTTTTAGCTTAACGCTATCTAGCGAAATATGTTTAACCTACGACATTCAAACAATATATTTCGGTAGATGGCGTGTTTAATGTATATGCACAGACGGTCTAATTTATGTCAACCAAAAAAATATGTAATTAAATAATGTATATAAAACTCTCATCTTTTAGTCTACAGTATGCAAATACAATAAAAGTTTTTAAGTGATAATAATTATAAAGGGAATTATTCGTAAATAGGAAGACGATAAGAACGTTATTGATTAGACAGAGACAGCAGATCAGTACCCGAATTTAGCCGACAAGAACGAAACAACGTCCGCCATATTGTCATGTCAGGTTTCTGAAAGTGGTTCAACGTGAATGCGGTTGTGAAAATATTGATATATTTGAGTGAAATTGTGTTAAAAGCGTCGCCTGTGGCTTTAAATCCTAGGGTAAATATGATAATATATATTTCTTTTAATTTAATTCTAAAATTGTATTATCTTGAAACACATCGCTAATTACATCGGGTGTGGTATTTAGTTCCTTCCAAATTGGTACTTTGTTTATTTTGTTTTAATTGTACATTGTTTAGTTATTTCGTCTGATAAACGGCACCTGTGAATAATTCAATCATCGCTTCCTATTCTAAATAGATCTTATTGAAGCTTTGTTGAAATCAATAGTAATTATGGCGCATTGAATATTTCGATAGTTAACTGTATTTGATGAAATTCTCCTCGTAGGCGCAGGGTGCATCGCTGCATCCGCTTGAAACATGAGCTATCAGATACCATCGTCACAGAGCCGAACAAGTAAGTTTGATTCCATTCACCATTGTTAATAATTCATTATTTGTCCTTAGTAGCATTCTAGGTGAATGCTGCTTGTAGAGATACAAGTCTAATGCCATTCCAAGTTATGAGTCATGTTATACATTTGCAATTATTTATTATAAGTTCTTAATCAATGTTTCCTTCACTCTTAGATTAGAAAATCTTATAATAAATAACAACAGCTTGAAGTTGTTCTAGTCATCAAAAACTTGAATTAATTAATTTGGACATTTTTACATTGTTAGTGCTAAAATAAAAATGAAAGGGTTCATTATGTTAAATTATAATTTGATATTATTGTGTAAACACAATATTTTATTTGGAGATTTATTGACTATCTACTGAATATGGTTCTCAATAAAGTGTTTCTGGTTAGCCACTTATGAACAGTAAGTAATAAACTAACTTTATTGCTGTGCATTTATAGATGCAATACATACCATAAACACATATGGCATACTTATAATATTTACAAAGTTTAAATACTGGTACCTGATAATATGTAATAAGTGTAAATAATTTTCAGTGTCGCACAGTAACTATGGTGGGTCTGATGTGCCAATGGCTCCAAACAAGGAGCAACAGACTCTCATGTGGCAGCAGAACTCATACTTGGTGGATTCTGGTATCAACTCTGGTGCTGCTACACAGGTTAACACTTTTAAACATTTACAGATTACATTATTTATGTCCTTTGTGAGTTGAACTTATTCTTATATGTTATTCATACAGGTTCCATCCCTTACTGGAAAGGAAGATGATGAAATGGAAGGTGACCAACTTATGTTTGACTTAGACCAAGGATTTGCACAGGGGTTCACTCAAGAACAAGTTGATGGTAAGGTCCTACAATTCATTATGTAAAATAAAGTAATGTAAATAGTATCACTATATAAATTTAATGCTTCACACATTGTTTAGATATGAACCAGCAGCTATCCCAAACTCGCTCTCAGCGGGTCCGTGCAGCTATGTTCCCTGAGACACTGGAGGAAGGCATTGAGATCCCCTCCACTCAACTAGATCCTGCACAGCCTACAGCAGTCCAACGCTTGTCTGAACCATCGCAGATGCTCAAACATGCTGTTGTTAATTTGATTAATTATCAAGATGATGCTGATCTTGCTACTAGGTAGGACTTTTGACTTGAGACTTTATAATAATCTTTCATTATAGTATACATGGCATTACTAATGTTTTTAATTAAATATCGTTCTTTAGGGCTATACCAGAATTGATCAAGCTCCTTAATGATGAAGATCAAGTTGTGGTGTCCCAGGCAGCTATGATGGTTCACCAACTCTCAAAGAAGGAGGCATCTCGTCACGCTATAATGAATTCACCGCAAATGGTTGCCGCTTTAGTACGCGCCATTTCTAACAGCAATGATTTGGAAACAACCAAAGGTGCTGTCGGAACTCTGCACAACTTGTCACACCATCGCCAAGGGTTACTGGCTATTTTCAAGAGTGGAGGCATCCCTGCTTTGGTGAAGCTACTCAGCTCGCCAGTCGAATCGGTTCTTTTCTATGCTATTACTACCCTGCATAACCTGCTCTTACATCAAGACGGTTCCAAAATGGCTGTTCGTTTAGCTGGTGGTTTGCAAAAGATGGTTGCATTGCTACAGAGGAACAATGTCAAGTTTCTGGCTATTGTGACTGATTGTCTGCAAATTCTTGCTTATGGAAATCAAGAATCGAAACTGATTATTCTTGCGTCTCAAGGACCGATCGAGTTGGTGCGAATCATGCGTTCCTATGACTATGAGAAGTTGTTATGGACCACTTCCAGAGTGCTCAAGGTAAGACAAATTCAGAACTGTTTTTATGGACTCAATCTCTGACTAAACATAGACATAGAGTGCTAACCCTCACAAATTATTTATTCCAGATACTATGAGATTTTTAAATACTGCTATTTTTTTGTTGTTGAGTGTCACATTACTGAGAGGGTAGTTGAATGTTCTGCCTTATCAACTTTCTATTAAGAATATGTTAAATTATATAAAGATTTATGTAAAAGAGTATGTTTAAATCCTACTTATTCTTTGATAAAAAGTACAAAGTATTTAATTTAATGTTAATGACATATATTATATTAATATGTTCAACATTTTTAAGGTGTTGTCTGTGTGCTCAAGCAACAAGCCAGCCATTGTCGAAGCTGGTGGCATGCAAGCTTTGGCCATGCATCTCGGAAACCCAAGTGGACGATTGGTGCAGAACTGTCTTTGGACCTTAAGGAATCTTTCGGATGCTGCTACAAAGGTATGTTATTTCTGTCCACGATATTCTTAGATATTATTGAATAGATGAACATCTATTAACATTTCTTTTACAATGTTTTAGGTGGACGGTTTGGAACAACTGCTTCAAAGCCTGGTCCAAGTGTTGGCCTCGACTGATGTGAACATAGTCACTTGTGCGGCTGGAATACTTTCCAATTTGACTTGCAATAACCAACGCAACAAGGTAAAATTTTTATTATTATGCTATACAGGACAGAGTATGTTTTTGTCTATTGTATTGTGTATTAATAAGGTATTATCACTAGTCTGAAAAAGTCAAAGTAAAAAATACTTTCTTCATATAGGTAACTAGGTACAGATTAAAATAAAACACTTTAACGGTTTAAAACGCGATATATATTAGTTAACATTATTTTTAACTTCGGCCCGACGGTCTCCCCGCGACTACCGCTGCTGCAAAGCATTCGAATCGTCTGGCCGAAGTTAAAAATAATTTTAACTAATATATATCGCGTTTTAAACCGTGAAAGTGTTTTATTAAAATACTTTGTAACTATATTACAAAACTAAATATCTGGATTCTTTAACTTAACTCTGCCCTTTATATGTGCTATTTCAGGTGACAGTATGTCAAGCTGGTGGTGTGGACGCTCTCGTTCGTACCGTCGTGTCTGCCGGCGATCGCGAAGAGATCACCGAGCCTGCCGTATGCGCATTAAGACACCTTACTTCGCGTCATGTTGAGAGCGAGATGGCTCAAAATGCTGTGCGTCTGCATTATGGCTTGCCGGTTAGTATAGAGTAATTTATATTAATGAAACATACTAAAAAAACTTCAAATTTAGTACTTCCTATTCTAAATAATCGTTAATCTAATCTAAATGCATGTTTTAAAGAAAGCATACGTATATGTCGTCGTAACGCCAGTGCCCAGCCGTGTTTCGTGTCGGAGAACAGCACAATGATAAAAAATATAGATAATAAACAATACATACAAAAATACTGTCTTAACAGTAAGCAGAGGGAAGGTATTGTGATCTGGACAACTATCCTCTGGAGTACTGACCTGAGGAGAAATGGGTTAACCCCTTCAGGTTCTTCTGGTAGTAATTTTGTGGGGGCTAAAATTTTTATCAGTGTTGTGCTTGGGTTAAAATGTAATGGAGTTAGTAATAATGATTCTTCAGTCATTCATATGACGTTTATAGCATAGATGTGCGCTATATTTGAATAGAAAATTTAAAATGCTTTGCTATAAATTACACGAAATATATGTAAAATTTCTTATCTTCCAGGTCATAGTGAAGCTGCTCCAGCCACCGTCACGCTGGCCACTCGTGAAAGCGGTGGTCGGTTTGGTGCGCAACCTGGCTCTGTGCCCGGCTAATCATGCACCGTTGCGCGAACATGGGGCCGTTCATCACCTCGTTAGACTGCTTCTACGCGCGTTCAATGATACTCAGCGGGTGAGTTGGCACAGGGACTAAAAAAAAATTAAAACAAATATGTACTCGTTGGTACAATGGGAGCAATGTATAACGAATCGAACGGTCTCTATTTTGATTCCCAACGGGTCCCAAAGTCTATAAATCTGTATATCTATAAATGTATGTGTAGAATTCTCAAATAAGTCGTAAAGTTTAACCGCGTTTGTCTATAATTTGAATATCAAATGAAAATTGGTCGGCAATGTAGATGCGTCAAAGTTAAAGTCTAGGATAGTTAAATCAAGCGTTTGGGATGTTTGACGATAAAAAGCGTCAAATCGGTCTGTCATCGCATGCATTTAAATTGCTTAGTCCTGGCAAATAAGCGAGATTTCCAACAATTACTAATATTGCATATGAAATAAAATACTATTGTAAACTATAAAACTAATTAATTGTGCTCTTCGACCATTAGCAACGCGGTTCTGTGACTGGAGGCGGCGGTACCGGCGGCGCATACGCAGATGGTGTGAGAATGGAGGAAATAGTGGAGGGGGCTGTGGGGGCACTGCACATCCTCGCCAGGGAAGGTCTTAACAGAGCTCTGATAAGGCAGCAGAATGTTATTCCGATATTCGTGCAGCTGCTCTTCAATGAGATAGAGAATATACAGGTAAGTAGATGTTGCATTAGGTCTCATACAACTTTAGATTGACTTATGTCATTGGGTTTTGAACCCAGGACTCCTTGCGTAAAGTATGATATTCACTTACAGAACAGACATTCTTATATTTTAAATTTCGATGTCACGAGCGTAACATATCCACAAGATTCCGTGTTGCTATTCTTACCAATTGAAAAACCATGTCTTCATCACATTGGTTCAACCTATACATATATAACATATTGTGAAAAAAACAAATTCCAAATCTAACATTTTATTCTTCTATAGCGTGTAGCGGCTGGCGTGCTTTGTGAGTTGGCGGCTGATAAAGAAGGTGCCGAGATGATTGAGGCTGAGGGAGCTACTGCGCCACTGACTGAACTGCTGCATTCACGAAATGAAGGTATGGAGTAATCTTGGGTTAAATACAATTTAGATTTTGGTGTTTAGTGTCTTTTAGACCACATAAGGATGTGTCTAATGATCCTTTAAGTACTGTCAAAGTTATATGAGTGTCGATATGGTGTTTTGTATATTGTCCGCTTTTTGAAATAAGCATTACCTTCCTACCAGAACTGGTTTAAATTGAAAAAAATTACGACACGGGCAGGAATTGAACCGGCATCCACGGCGTTCCGTGCTGTCACTCTAACCAATTGAGCTACAGTGTTTTTCAACCTATCGATACATGTACCTCTAGTGCTTTTTAGAACTGGTTTTTTAATGCGCACACTCATCAGGTGTAGCGACATATGCTGCGGCGGTGCTGTTCCGCATGTCCGAAGACAAGCCTCACGACTACAAGAAGAGACTCTCTATGGAGCTGACCAATTCGTTGTTCCGCGATGATCATCAAATGTGGCCCAATGATCTTGCCATGCAGCCAGATCTCCAGGTAATGTAGTTGTCTCCTTTGGTTCTTTTGCTGAAGAGTTTGTTTGTTTGAACGCGCTAATCTCAGAAACTACGGGTTCGAATTGCATTCTTCTTGTGTTGGTTAGAACATTTAACGAGGAAGGCTTATAGTCTATCAAACATTGCGTTGTGACTAATAGAAGCGAAGATACAGCTTGAAAAGTAAACAAAACGGGGGAATTTTTTCATCTCTGTAGGTTTCAGTTGCGTACGCTACGAAAACGGTTCAAGATAATTAAAAAATGTGTATGAAAGAATTATTTTTCTTTACATGATCTAAAAAAAGTCCGCAACGCTATATGTCTATCTTTTAAGATTAGCTTGCAAGAACGAAGCGAAGAGACGCGATCGACGTCGTGGCTAACAGCTTAAGTTTATAAAGATGACGGGGTTTGCAAAACCTAATTTGGATGCCCAAAATAACGATTCTTGCGGACGGTTAATAATATAATATATTTAGTTAGACTTATCTGAAAATATTTTTTAAAGACTTCTCGTCTTCCCGTGACCACGACTGATGCAAAGCATCCGAAACGTCGAGCCGAAATTACAAATAAGTTTAACTAATATATCGCGTTTTAAATCCAAACACCAATCACAGTGGGTGACGCCATTCGTGGGCAATCATTGAGTGCACCTATTTCGCGCAAACTCTGATAACACCACATATGACATCACTCGTCACAATACGTGGCGTTCAAAAGATAAAGAAACAAAGTATTAAGTTAGGACGGTATAGTTAAATAAGATCTTATTTTTTAACGAGAATACACCGCCACACATCCCTGATTTCCTAATAACATCTTGCATTAAGCCGATCTAATACTACGGTAAATATGGATAACGAAGTGATCAGAAGAAGTATTATTATTTGACAATGAGATGTTAATTAAGACTTGCTTTCAGGATATGCTTGGACCCGAACAGGGGTATGAAGGGCTATATGGAACGAGGCCATCCTTCCATCAACAAGGTAGGCGTCATAAATACACATACAAAGACGATAGAATCTTATTATTACTAACAAGTAGTTGAAAGGAGATTGACAAAAATCTTAAGAAACTTTAAGTCGTAATTAAAAATAGAATTATCTAATATTCTACGCGTTTTAAACCGTTACAATGGTTTTATAAAACGTTCCATACTAAGGCATCTGTTTTTGTTTAAATCTTGTATTGTTATCACCACTTTGTCTATGAATAGTTAGTTGAAGTTTATACGGATGGTTTATATTAGATATCGCTTTAGGAAACAGAGAAAAGGACATAATATGTAACTCTATCTCTTTTCTTTCTTCGTAATAAATTAACGGAACTTCTGTTTTCTTGATCTCCTTTCATTTAATAACATGTATGATATATTGTTAAATGCACATTATTGTCCGAATTATCGGATCGACAGAGAATGTTATATCTTTATAAATATGTTTCTCTTCTTTACACGCAGCTTAATCCGGGACCTATTTTTCACTTAACTCAGGTGATGGGATATTGATACTTGTTTGGTGACGAATAACAAAATAATAAATACATTTCGTGTGTTTTAAATTGCTATTAAATTTGTTATTTGGCTTGTGTGTGTGTGGCTTTGTTATACTCTCAGTGTTGACTTTTAATCTATACTTATTTAGTGTTTGTTTCATTGCCCTTCCTTACTTACCGAAAATTTATACAAAACACAAAATTGAGCATAACTAACTAACGCGTGTAGATTTGTCTATACGTTTTAAAAATAAATATGCGATAAACCAAATTAAAAAGTTGTTACAACAAAATCTAATTAAAGTGTTGTTATTTTTTTAAAGCTTTGTTATATAATCTTATTGCAATAATTTAAAAATGGATTTTAGATTGAAATTTATAATGCCAAGTGTCAATAACATGTGAAAAATATTAAAGTGTTCAATCAAGCAATCATTTCTTACAATATTTATGTTTAACCCAAATTCGTACATTTCTTTTAATCTCACAACTAATATTTTGTTTCACACCCGCCATTTTTATTGCTTTTTCTATTATTTATACATGGTCAATGACTAAACTATAATACTTGTGTTACAGGCTACGATCAAATACCGATAGACTCCATGCAAGGCTTGGAAATCGGCAGCGGTTTCGGCATGGACATGGACATCGGAGAGAGCGAGGGTGCTGGCGCCGCGTCAGCAGACCTGGCTTTCCCCGAACCGCCGCATGACAACGCCAATGTTGCTGCCTGGTACGACACTGACTTGTAGGCACCGCGTCTATGCTGTCTGTACACTTTCTGAAACCTCGTTGCTAACGGTACACCTGTTAGATCTATAGATTCAATATTATTTTAATTTTAGTGAAAGTAAGCCGCAAAACATTTTGTTCACCGATCGTAAGTGGAGCTAATACATCGATAGAATACAAAATATCCGTCGATATTTTTTAAACGAAACACTTTAACTGTTTAAAATGCGAAATATATTAGTTAAACTTATTTGGAAAATTATCTTAACTACGGCCAGACGTTTCGGTTTCTTTGCAGCAGCCGTGGTCACGGGGAGTTTCCCCGTTTAAGTTTCGCGATTTAAACCGTCAAAGTGTTCTATTTAAATGTAATTGTTTTTAACTGTCCTAGGAATGTTTCAGTGTTGTTGTTTTATAATCAACAACTTCTTTGTTTATGGAAAATATTTTATTTTATCATGAGAAATTATAAGTTTTCATGTACCCAAATAAATGTTAGGTTATATTTACAAAATGCAGAGTACAATGTTTCAAATCATGTTGTGATATACCACTGACGGCAGCTACTGAATACAAACATTTTGATTTTGGTGCTATTCTGTGACCACAGCAAGTTGCCCGAAAGTTGAGCCCTGTATGGATTCTATCGTTTTATACACTTACGTATAAAATGCGTGTAATCGGAGAATAGGGTAACTAGTACTAAGGTTTCTCTAGGCTTTAATATTTCTAGTTCTAAGTATTTCAAATATCTTACGTGCATTTACGACTGTAGTGTGTTTATCCGCGGGCCGATTGAGTTTATTCAAATAACGCAAAGACTGTTTGATTGTGTAAGGAGTAAGTAATGTTTGACTGCCATTTTTTATTTTATTATTAGAGAGTTAGGAGCGGATGGGGGCGGAGTGAACGGATTTTTAATACATCTTCGTAACAGTGCTTCTAGAGCTGATTAACCAATTAAGTATGCGATGATCTTGTACTGAGTTCACAGAAATGATTAATGAAATAACTTGGTACCAATAGGAGTAAATTTTATAAGGCTTCCGGCAAAGGTTCGTCTTGTAAAGCTTCAAGTGGTTCGTCGACAAATCTCAAATTGTGACGGCCGAACAGCGAGAACAACCAATATAAGAATATAATTATGTAACTGAAATTTAAATAACTGTTTAAAACGCGCAATATATTGGCTAGGGGTGGATAATGATCACGGCTGCTGCAAAGCATCCGTGAAAGTCGAGCCGCAGTTATAATAAAATAACTTATATATTTCGCGTTTTAAACCGTGGAATTTTAATGTGTATTGTTCGCGTAAACTACAGACAATACGTATGTAATCAAAATACTTAGGGTCATGTTACATTTCTGTGTATTTAATACAAGGCAAATAACTCTAGAATATTCTAGCTATTAGAATGTATTACAGAGTGCGCTTACAGTAGATTTCATATGTTGAAACTTATTCAACATAGTATTACAGTAAACGTATACAATTAGAATCACATTTTTTAAAGAATGACTGCGGTACAAAATGATTTTAGATGTTCTCGCGATGTCAATAATCATTTGTGTGGTTGCAAACGACAGCTAAAGCGATCTTTGGCGATGGGGGTTGTCTTCCTTAAAATTAGAACCGTTTATGAACCACGCAAGTAATTATTGGATAACTCAATTAAGTGTTTAGGAAATGCACTCATAATAAACGCGTGCACAAGTTAATTAGACTAATGTAATCGCCTAAAATAAGATTTAGTATTGCGTAATTCCTCTTAGGATCCCTCGTAAGTTATAATTTTTCTATTCGGTACTTTAAGTGTCTTTACCAATGTGTTTATACTCGTTGAGGTCATAAGGACATTGCTGAAGTGTAAGATTTTGTGTCCATTTATGTATGGATAATAAAATATTAAAAATATGATGGTTGTTTTATTTTTCGAGGGCTGTGGAAGAAATATGTTAAAAGTAATTCCTTCAAAGGACAAGTATATGCTTCTCAATACGAACTTTTTAAGTGTCACACTGAATACGTCAATAAAGTTGGTGAAGGAATTGAGGATACACTAACATTAAAAAATGCATTACAATATTCACAAATCAATCATAGGCAAACATAATATGTTTAAATAAAAAACAACTAAAATTTTAGAATTGCCTAATTATTGGACAAAAGTAGCAAAAGTCGGGGTTACTAAAATTATTTACTAAACTGATATTTGAAACAATAAATTGATAGAACTAAGTAACTCTTTACTATAGTATTTAGTTGCAGTGTCTATCTATTCCATTTATTGAACGTTGGATGTAGTTAAGTAAAATTTTGGAAATGGACTGAATTAAGCAAACAACACACAGGCTATAAGGCGTAGAAAAACGAATATAGTTTGCGTTTGAATCCGTTTAATAAGTACGCCGATTTAATTAAAAGGAAAATGCAAAATGTCGACCTGGATGAAGCTATCAAGCCAAAATACCACGACGTATCGTGGAAAGACGGCGACATAACTCGACTGGGCCGCAAATTGTTAGCAGAGCTGCACCGCAGACCGCACGGCGCAAGTTTCCCACCTTTGTCCCGACAGTTATTATGTACAATTAGGACTTATACCGCGGCACGCGGTACTAATCTTGCACTAACTTCGTCGCGGTTTAGGCTGGTGTGCACAAAATAACTCACTGCCATCCAATTCTGTACTACGAGCTGACTAATGAGTTACTCACATGTTATACATGTAATAATAAATTATACGATTATTTTGTATGTTGATGTATCTAATTATTTAAATCAACATTTTTAATATTGCTACTTATATGAATAAACTATTGTATGATTCACTAATATATTTTTAATGCGTATATAAATAATAACAGCTAAGCGTAGTTTATGTATTTGGTTTCGTTTATCTATACTTTCTATAATAGTAATAATAAAAAGTTATTATAATAATCTATTTTAATATTTAAAAGTATATTTTTATTATAGGCTTTTAAATGTCTTTAAATTGGACTCCAATTTGGACATTCCTACTTTTCGGCAGGTGAAAAAAGTAAGAAAACTACTTTCAAGAATGCTTAGGTAACCAAAAAGACCAGAATTAGCCTTTCATTTTGATGTTGATTAGCGTGTCCATATAAAATACATAATAATCCGAATTCTTTATCAAAAATGGTTCAGAAATGTACTTTCAAGTTAACTAAAGTCAACATCTCAATTCTTGACGTAAATTTTTTAAATTCTACAACTTGATACATGTTTGATAGCTTTATCTAAGTTTAGATTATACTAGTATCATTATAGATATTGCACTACAACGTAACAAGTGTTTCGTCTGTGTATAAATTAGGTAGTAGAAACAGTCGCCAAGCCAGTAATTAGTGTCAGCTCCTATATTAAGTTTTGTTGAATCATTTAATATTCACAGGGGAGTTTCCAAATCACAACGTGAAACCAGTAATCATCGAGAAATCTACTCATGTATGTTTGATACAGGTTAAATGCTTTCGGGTCCCAAAGAGACGGTAGTAATTAAAGTTGTCCCTTATCCTCTGGGGATAAGGTGCATTTCCACTTGCACTATTTGTAATTAGTGTGGGGTTGGTTGTCGATAATTATATCTGTGAAATATAATTATAGATACATCGTATCTTCAGTGCTTAGATATTAAATTCATCGGTGTTAAGCTGGGTGAAATAAAGCCGTACTAAATATTTTTTCGTTTTCTTAGGCCATTGAGTTGTTTGTGAATAATAGGTTGTAGTCTCGTAGGTGTCAATTAAAAATATAGAAAACAATAATTTACTAGTATAAGTATACAATGTGTAGATAAGTTTTATTATAGCTACGATTTTGCATAGAACCTACAAACACATTTTTTTTAATAGTTAACCAGGAAATATAAAAAAGGTGCCGTAGATAGTGAAATTCGGTTTAACCTATCAGCACGAGCCGAACACATTTCACATATCAGATTTTATGTACAGGAAATTACATAGTTGATCAAAGTGCAATAGAATCTCTTCCCAGAAATTAAAACCTAAGATCTCTTCCGCTTACCGCAATGCTAGTCAATGCGTTTAACTATTAAACTACAGAAACGGTAAAAATATATGTAATAATAACGTGTAGACTCGAGCAAGTAATTAGTTTTAACAAATAATGCCTACATTTAGTGTCTACTAAAATTTTCTCGAGAGTAAATTTGGTAAAAGCCAACATAACCTTGCTTATCGACTAGAGTTTCAACACCGGCATGTTTCATTATGAAAAATTTAACTTTATGCTTTGTTTTTACAAGCGGAGTCATTATTCGTTGCATCCCTGCATCTCGTCTTTACGACTGCTTAATAAACCCCGTCGAGGGTAGATAGCCAGATAACATTATAATTTTTACGACCAGCACGGGAAGCCCATCTGCTTACTTTTAACGTTGTAGCTTGCATTGTAGGATATACTAATTTCTTAAGTCACGTTTATTCCATTTATAGACTTGCAAATTCAATAATTGAACACATTATTCGCCTTTTTGTTCCTTCAAACTTCGGCACTACCTACTATTGTAGGTTTTATTTCCGGATTTAAAAAAAAGCAATTTTAACCGTTTTGACGTTTGAATAGCCGATAGGTTTTCTTGTTGGTGCAGCAAACAACCTCCTACCAGGTGGACCGACGACCTAGTCAAGGTAGCAGGGAAACGCTGGATTCAACTGTCGAACGACCGGTCGTACTGGAAGTCTATGGGGGAGGCCTATGTCCAACTGTGGACACTGAACGGCTGAATCGAAATCGAGCATCAAACAACGCCAAAAGAGGTCGACAGCAACATCTTGTTGAGATGTTATAAATCCCATGCCTGTCTATCCTCCTCTACCACAAAATAAAACATTACGATTATTTTTATTGTTAGATCGCTATTTTAACATAACATAATTAACTTCATCAAAGCAAATACTCAAAACTTAATGTAAGCTTATTAAAAGTTTCTTAATAAATTTTAGCTCAGTCTGTAGCTGACATTATAGAAATTTGCCAATTCGTAATTATATTTCCAAGAACACTAACGAAAGCCCCGAATGAATGAGCTTTAATTTATATTGGTTCGTTGCGTTGGTCCAGTGTACCTGATAATACTGGTTAGGTAATTATAAAGAAAATCTAAATTTACCTAACTTGTTGAATAAAGTACGAAAAATTAAATGGGGCGAAGAAATATCGATATTCCGACCACGTCACAAGCAAATTAGTTAAATGGAAAATTCGTAAGGTGTAATTTCTTTATTTGGTTTCAATTTGTGATTTCAAGAATGTAGATTAAATTTAAAAAATAAAAAATTTACGACTCGGGCAGGACTTGAACCGGCATCCACAGTGTTCCGTGCTGTTTTAACTAATTGAGCTACCGAGTCCTACACCTCATCGTCGAATTTTTTCAACCTATTGATACATGCACCTCTCGCGCAAATTATTTTTGTTTACAATCGATTTTTAATTTATATAGTGCCATCATGTGACACTATATAAATTAAAATAATTTAAAGGTTACAAGTGTAGACGATTTCTATATTCTTTTCATAGTAAATGACTATTCATCTTCCAGCATGCCTGACTGTACTAATTTAAATAATTTGAGTGGCTCGTGAGTATTTAGCCTTAAAAGTAAGAAGGAACAGAATATTGATCGGTATTCATCTCCTAACAGGTTTTATGCTTATTTTTACTACTTTTTGAGGACCACAAGGAGAGGTAACATTTTATGACTGACTTTAATGACTTTTTGGACGGATTTAATGAAATATTACTGAGTATTTGCATGAAAATACGCTACTTTAATGAAATCCACTTTATAATGTACACTATAATATATATATATACATATATTATAGACCTGATCCCCTCCCCAGTAGCTATGTTGGTGTTGCTGCATTGCGTTGCGCGGCGGCTTCAATTCGATCTCGGGGAAATATAACTTCGTGGAGGTACAGAACTCTGATAGTTGACGAACACAAAAATTAGTACCTCCATTGAGGGGATGGGGTTTTGTTATATGTTGGTTGTCTGAATTGTTGAAAATGAAAGCTATAAGCATATATAATTAAGTATTTTGATAGATTAAGACAGAGAAGCATGGTGTTCATCTTTGTATGTTTGGCATAATTAGTAAGTTAATACTTACTTCTCTACGAATAGTCGTGGATATTTGCCGAGTAAGACATTTTAGTGTAGACCGGGCCATTCAGTAGATGTCCTTGTACCGACAGAATGTTAATTAAATTCCCTCTTGAAAGATTCCGCTAACTTTAACCATTTCAGTAAGTACTTATTCTCGACTTCTCTGTATTTTGCTTTTGAATGAACACAATATAATATACATATTAAATTATTTTACATGTTTAATAAGGCTAGTAGTCACAGATGCATAAAAACCTCGAGGTCCAGAGCTTGAATCCTAGGTAAAAAAAGTAGTAGTAGTTTAGTAATTGAGGTTTTTAAAGGAAATTTTCAAAGCCCATCTTTTCAAGGTTATACAAAAACGACAGCCACCTTATTAATTAAAAGTATATACACGTGCGGTAATCGACTCTATGACCACAGCGGTTCGTGATGCCTTAGAAACTAACATGATACTTAGTAAACACAATACAATTTAACAGATCCAATCTATAAACATACTTTTTACTTAAATGAAACCATCATGCATATGTGAAAAATAATAATATCTGCCATCATACATCTTCAGTGCCTTGGTACCAACTTCGTCTCATTTATAACGAGTAGGCATTACGTTTTCCTCTCCCAGCCAGATACTCAAAATTATCCACTCTCTTGAACCATAACTGCATAGCACTCAATTCAAATTAGCCTCATTGCAATAAAGGAAAATGAGTTTTTTTTTACGAACGGAAAAGTGTTGTTTTTATTGTGCTCAAAAAATACCGTGCCCTCGCTACTGATTAGGTAGTTCATTTATTTAGGGGTGGATTTATTAAGGGTACATTTATTTCCGCCTTCATAACTTTCTCGTACAAATCACGATTACGTTTGAGTTGTTCAGCGGAATCTTGTTGTTTCGTAGTCATAATCAGATTAGTTCACTTCGAAAATTTTGTACAGTTTTGTTAGTCATAATTAAAACTTATTATATACTTACATACATTATTAGTATTTTACGCGTCAAAATATTTTTCTTTTTTCAGCAGCGGTTCAAAATTTAAAATAAACCTTTGATAAGTTACCCTTTTATCGCCATGTTGCTGTGCCATGTAGCAAATTCGAATTATCTCATAGCAGGTTGCCAAATAATACTTACTCAAATTTCCAAGCATGTTTAAGTAAAGATTATTAAATAATTGCAAACATAATACAAGTATATTAAAAATAATAGTAATTGAGAATGGAAGAGATATAATAAACTCATAATAAAATTGATTTTAAAGGCCAACCACGCATCTTCAGGACTTCGGTGGTAAATGTCCATTGGCCGCAGAAATTACTGTCCAACGGGTGACCCCTTGCCTGTTCAATCCATATTTAAGAAATATATATGTACAGTAAGCGTGATAAATAGATACATATTTGATACAAAGGACGAGAGAATAATCCAAAGTAAATTGTTCTCATTTAGTTATACTTAATGCCTATAAACTGTACTAAACACGGCTTTTCTTCGACTCAGGC